TGGTGTAGTGTCCTACATGATCAGTTGATTCGGCCATTCATTTTCCCGTGATGCTTGGCTGGTGTGGTTTATCTGAAATTTATGCAAGGACAGCCGCTGTTACTTGTGGATATTCCGGCATCTTACAACATGATGGTGTACCTCCTCACTTCCACCCTGCTGTGGTTGGACACAGTTCACTGAGATATGGATAGGGCGAGGCGGTTTTCAGCCCTGGCCTCCTCGATCGCAAGATATATCACCACTAGATTATTACGTATTGGGATGGATGAAGGATATTGTATACCAAGGGACTGCACAAACAGGTGAGGAACTACATGTGCATATCGTGCACGCAGTTACAGAAATCAAATACAGCCGTTTGCACCTACGAGCGAGCAATACATGTGGTTCATAAACGTGCAGCCAAATGTATGAAAGTACACAGAAACATTTGTGAATATCTTTTGTAAGCTAGTTAGGCGTAATTGTAATGCTCAACTGTAAATAATACGGTATGATAATACATCACTGTATTTATTTCTGAAAGGGTTATTATTTTATTAGTAATTTTTTCAAATGTTTCGAAATACTCTGTAAATATTGGGAACAGGCCCCATATTTATATGACATAATTACCTCCAAATGAGGCAAGTAATAGGCCCTGTGAGTGGCGGTAACTCTTCGTTAATCATTCTGTATATCGCGTAACAATATGTTTACATTAATTTTGATGACACAAAAGGTAAAGTGCCATGTATTAATTTTACCTATAGGCAAAATATCGCAAAGGTAACGTAATTTCATCCACTCACATTCAAGAGACGATACATCCTTTGACTTTCCTTTTTTTAATCAATTTTTTGTGCCGACTTCCAACAGGATTGTTTATTGTGTATTATGCTATGATTGCATCACACGGAGTTAACAAATTCGTTAAGAAAATTCGATTGATAAACACATTAACGATCTGAAGAAATCTGGAACTACGCAAAACATTTGGGTGAAAATCGACATCTATTTGTGTGACATATGAAAGTATTGTTGGAATGTAGTGGAAAATTTTATATTATTGATATTAATCTTCAATATCAATCTTCAATTCTTCAGTGGCAATTGTTAACCTAAATATATATTTAAAGACAGAAACAATAGGTAATCAGTGAAGTATATGAAGTGTGTGTGTGTGTTTATATATATATATATATATATATATATATATATATATATATATATATATATATATATATATATATATATATATATATATATATATATATATATATATATATATATATACACACTAGAGTACAATTATAGAATATCGCCTCTTTAGCTCAGAGGTAGAGCACTGGTCTCGTAAACCAGGGGTCGTGAGTTCGAACCTCACAGGAGGCAGCTCATTTTACCGGATTTCGGAGCAAGATCATTGGTTAAAATTTGGATAAATGCTGATTAATTTACTTCCGCCTCTTATCGATAAGGTAATAACGTAAGTAACTAATTTTAAGACCGTCACTAAACATTTATAATGCAGTATTGAGGTATGCTTTCACTGTAGATATAAGTGGAATTTAATACAGTGTGTGTGTTTTTAGTTCAGAGAAGAAGTCTGAAGTGTCCACAAGAAGATGAGTATAGGACAACTAAGCACTAGTGCTGCAGACGTCGCACGGGTGTAACTAAACTTTATGAACTAAAACTTTCAATGTTTGTCGGTAAAAATCAAATAAAATTCCTTTGATATCATCACTCTACGACAGGAAAATCTATGGAACTTGATGGTATACATGCAATCAATTTTATTAACTTCAAATTTATCTATAAGAATTCTATAATGTCAAAGTTGTTCTGAATTAATGAAATTTAACAGTATTTTCTACATGTAAATAATATTTTGTTTAATGTGTCATGTTTCCAACAATATTCGTTGCCTTACATAATAATAAACATGTTCTCTACACAAATCGATAAGTTTGAGCGGTTTTCGTAATAAGTACTTGAAGTCTATTAAGTTAAACTTTAGGAGCAAATGAAGCTGCTGTGACCTGTCCTGAGGATGAAACAGGCTACGCAAGGAAGGGGGATATCCGTATCCAGATAATAGAGCACTCATATACAAATAACTATATTTTATTAACTCACAGCCCCATCACAATAATACATAATACTTACAAATCGTCCTCGGCTTTACTTTACTGTACTTCAATATCTTTTATCAGCAAGTAGCAGGAATAGTTAAAAAGTCTAGAAGACTCATAGCAACAATCAGTATCAAAGTGCTCACGACTCAGAGAGAGTCTTAAAGTTATCACGAGGACCCTAACGCCGCACGACCTCTGGCGCCCTACTGGGGTTATATGCACCCTTTTGCTGTCGCGTAGGAGTCGTCGAGCGAGACCTCCTTGACAGTGGCAGTGCTGGGCGTCGAAGCGGGGACCACGGCCTGGTGGTCCTCCTCGCTGGCGTCTCGTCGTGCTCTCGGGAGCAAGATGGCTGCGAGTCGCCATCGCTCCAACATTATATAGTCCTCCGCCTAGCCTCGCGACTTTCCTCGGCGGGGGAGTGTTTTAATAACAGTCGGGTTGGCGCTTGAGCGTCGCCTGCCAGCTCTAACTCATAATGATCACAGCAATGTGCAAATTCAGGTTAGTTTGCTGGAAAATATTTAATTTAGCAACGACGACCTTATTTGTTTGAAAATTTTACAAGAAATTTCATGATGTGAAATATGTTGTGGTAGTTTAAATTTACTTAAATTATTACGTATGTTGTTTGGCTCAAAATCTCGTGGAAAGTATGATCAATAGGGTTGGAGCAAGATGCTCAGAGAATCAGGAACGGAGGAGGAACCATCACAGTATTCTCCTGGAGTGATTTAAGACAACCATGGAAAACTGATATCAGGACAGCCAAACAAAGATTCGAACCTGTCAATCGAAGCTGTCAGGTCAATAATGTAAACATACGTGGCCACTGCCTTACCTAACCCACAGAGCTTGGCTCACACTTTAAGAAGTCTTAAATTCTCTTTGCTGATTTATTATATTTTTTTCTCATATTGAAATTGAGTCATGGATTCACATTGCAAATGTTTGGACTTAGCAGATAATAAAATAACGTAAAAACGTGACCGTGTACAAAAGGTCACCTAAACATTAAGATTCGTCAATGTGATACATTTATAGATTTTCCAAAATATATTTTAATCCTCTCTATATTGCCTTTTTTGCTTACGTAAATTGACTTTGTGTTTAGTTAGTTAATGTGACAATAATCCTGGAATAATCAGCACATGGTCAAGAAATTGCGCAAAGTTTTTTCCTTCAGTTTTGATGTGAGGAAATTTATAGTTTTTTACACTATAAACTTATTTCGAGTTCTATTTGTTCTTCTATTTCCGGTGATCATTCACTAATAAGTTTCTCTAGAACAATTTTAAAATACTGGTCACCAAAACAATGTTCATTATATATAAGATAGCCCCATGCTTAAAATGGCGTATGATCATGTATGCATTCTTCGCATACTTATCGTTACCGGATGGAGTAGAGGGTTTTTTTATTTACAGAGTGTGATAATGTCCATTGTTATTTCAATAATGTTCGTTATTTAGATTTATTTGATATTATTAATAGGAAATACACCTTTATGATTGCATAGAGGATAATTTTAATATTGTAAATATAGCGCCTTAGTGGTAATTTCAATAGATCTCTGGAGAAAATATAAATATACCGAAAAACCTAAACCCAAATAACATCTCTTTCTCTCACATACATTCTTTCGCCTACTTTCTCTCTCTCTCTCTCTCTCTCTCTCTCTCTCTCTCTCTCTCTCTCTCTCTCTCACACACACACACATACACAATAATAATAATACCAATTTCTGAACATGGCATTAGAAGGTAATAATGTTTTCCTCGTATTTAAAAAGTTCAATTAGTTTACATGTTTTGTAATTATTTAACACATAGATCAAAATGTTCACACATAGTTTTAGAATTATATCTGCTATATAATTCAGTCATAGTTTTTCGTTCCATTGCTCTATTTGATATCTTAAGGAAGCACTTGCCCGTAGGTTCAAAGAAGTTTTCTATTGTTAGAATTAAAGATTATTTCTGCGATCTGAGATTAAACATTTTCTGTAGGGTTCATCTAAATTAATGCCTTTGCCAAAAACACAAAAATGGATGTTGGAGTACTTAGAATAATAAACAATCTAATGCTTGATATGTATGCAATCTCTAAGACTGATTTTGGAAAGGACACTTTATCTTTTTTTTATTGTGAAAGAATTGCATAAAATAAAATGAATTCGTACATACATCGCACGTTTTTAACGTTCTTTTTTTTCACGAGTGCGTTATTTGTGTAAAAGTTATATTAAAGGTAAACTGACGAAATGATTCAATGAGAAAATAAGTGATTGAATTGAAGCAAAAAAATCATCCCCTTTCATTTTTAAAACAGTTGTTATAATACAACATAGTGACATGGAAACTGATATTAAAGTTTTAAAATATTCAGTGTTCAGTAAAAACCACTCATCTAAAAGAAAGGCTCTATTAAAGATTTGCTTGAGAATATATATATCTATATATATATATATATATATATATATATATATATATATATATATATATATATATATATATATATATAAACTTATTGAACCAATATCTGTGTTTTAAACTTTAATAGTAATGTTTATATTTACTGTGTTATATTATATATTTTATTTTTGGAAACATCTATTGGGTTGCGTGACACAAACAACTATCTTCGCAAGAGTCACGTGTTAAACTACTCGCACAAAACCTATTAAACAAAGATAAAATATTATATATTGTATGTAAAGAGTTTATTCAAGAGAATTTATCATGTAATCAGGTTGACAAGGAATGGTTAGCAAACAAAACCATTAACCACGCTCGTACTATTCAGCATACTGTTATTTTTAATCTGTCCAAAAATAAGACAGCACGAACAAGTTACAGAAAGGTGAAACGTTGCCTTTGCCTCCTGTGAGGATTGAACTCACGACCGCTGGTTTACAAAACCAATGCTCTGCCACTGAGCTAAAGAAAAGCTTGAGTGCCACAGCAAAGTACAATCAATATACTTTAGATAATTTCAAATATCGTACACCTATACAACTATTTTAAAACTAATATTTTTTTTGAAAGTGAATAGCCACAGACAGCCGTCTTGTCGAGTCTATATTAGAACAAAGAGCATTCTAAACACGATATATTTATTACCTTCAATGTGAGTAGGCTTTCTTAGAAACTTCAAATGTAATTACACCGCATTGTTTCTAAACTTTTCCCCCTATAAGTGCAGTCGTAATCAAATGTAACATAAAGTTTATAATATCTGTCTAATGCACTTGCTTCAGTTTGTCGCAGGTTGTCGGCCAGTTACACCTACATGAGCGGGACTAATAACTGCTTGATTAAAAATAATAAACAGGTTATATAATTAATTGCTTGAGAGTTCTAGTGTTTGTCTTCCTCCTATCTAGAATGTTCCTTATAAAAGTTTCCCTCCAGTCAGTCAAATCAAACACATCTTATTCTGAGTTGTAGTAGTTTTACAGATTGTAGGAACATTTGTTCTCAATGCTTTGTTTAGGTTACAGTCGTATTTTGAGTTTCACGCCTTTAGCCAGGATGTTTACTCCAAATATCCGTAATTAGTAATAAATTATTAGGTAAATTGCTTATATTTATAGTGCATAAGTATAATCTGTAAATCCTTTAGTACAACGTAAGGGAAATATCAGGTAATTTTCATCGTGCCAAGACAGTGAACATTTTTAATACATATAAATATATAGAGATTTCATGGGTTACGTTTAAGTGCTGCGCTTTGCTTCAGTTTAAATTACAGTTACCAGTACTTTTTTTGCTGTATTCTATAATATTGACCTTCTGAAACATTTGAAAAGGAAATCTCTTTACGGAAGAGCAAGCTAATAAGGGATTTTCAAGTAAATGGGAGCGAAAGAGACCAAAGAGGAAATTACCAATCAAAAGTAAACTACATTCGAAAAAAAAAACAGGAAGAATTTGAGCTGAAGAAAAACATAGAACGAGTAGTGTTGACACCGTGAATATGCAGAGAGAGAAGACCGAAAAAATAGACAGAAGGAGTCAGAACGAAGGTCACATAGGCGAAAGAGTGATTTTTTGCAGGTTGCTTCCATGCCATCGAAAGACGGCAGGGTGGAAGTAATTTTCTTGGCGGGCGAGAGTAGCTAGCAATCTACGACTGCGGGATTCAATCGGAGATATACAAACAGAAAGCCAATCACCCATAATGCCGCCGTCACCAAATTGGTTACACTATTCAAAGAGATTTTTTTTATTATGCGCATAGCTGACAGCGTTCTGGAAGACTATGAATTGTCACAGATGAAGAAGTGTCAGCAATCGTAGTTATAGCGGCAATCATGTGGCGTCCTCTAAAATGTTCAAGAAGGTTACAAATGGAACACATTAGCCAAAAATGATTTATGATTTTCCACGCACTTCGTTTACGTTGGTATGGGACGAATATTGTTCAGGACCACGCTGAAGATTATCTGTACCACTGCCTGAAATATTTTACTAATGCTCTTGAACACACCAAGCTGATCATACTAATTATATTTCGTTCAGTGATGAAGCCAATTTTTAAATTAGTGACGTAGTCAGTATGCAAAATTACATGCATTTGAATGATACCAACCCCTACTAGATAGGCAGGTGGGTAGGTAATTTTTAACGTGTCGTCGACAGCGAGATCACTATAAACGGGGGAAATTGCTCAGACACGCAGAAACTGGGAAGGAATCAGCCATGGCCAGTATGGAGGAACCATCCTAACACTTACCTGTGTGATGATTACGAGCACCTCTAATCACACTGTTTCTTTGGTGAAAGATATCCTAGTATATGTGATGACGCTGCGTCGTACACTGCGATGATGGTCACATATAAACGTTTTTCTTCTTTCATTGATAACGTCATTGCATTGCAGATGTCAGTTTTCTGTTTTACGTTTATGCACGTTATGCTCACCACGACAAGACAGTGATGAAAAGTTGACATACATAACATTTTTTTTGCCGATATTTCATAACAACGTACCGTTGTACTCTACTGTATGTGTGCCCTTTTTCAAGTTCGGTTGTTACATTTAAGATATCGCGTAGTGAGAATATTGGTTATAAATATCAAAATATAGTACACAACCACCAATTATATTTTAAAGAAACGCATATCGTTATTTATTTTTAAAAAAATATATTCTCTATTTATATAAATTGCAATTACTTTATTTGAAATATAATTTTTGGAAGTATTATGTTATGTTGTACACGTCATTACTGTTAAAACTTGAAACATTTCTGTAACAACTGACTACACTAAACACTTAAAATTGTTATACCATTATTGTACTTATATACTTCGCAAGTATTTTCATAATGTTGTTTCACTGCTAATGGATTGATTTTGTAAATATTAGAATTTTATTTACACTATATTTTAAAATTATTGAGACCAGAAAGGTGCCAGGAGTTAAGTAGCACTGTTTCTATGCGTTTTAAAAATAGCCAGATGATAGGTATTGTTTTCTGTACAAGTGCGTGTTTATTTCACTGTGAGAAATGCCAATATAAAAAAAAATATTTGAATGATACCTAGTTAACCTACCTTTCCATATAAATGAAAATTAATACAGTTAGAGAAATGAATGCCAGGCATAACTAACTAATTAGAGATAACATATATATAATTAATAAATTGTTTCAAAAAATCTTTAGAAGAGTAGATGGAATGAAGGAATTTTTGCGGTTGGTGAACAAACACAATTCTGTAACTGTGTACTAACTAGTTTTGCTAACAACAGCTATGGGCCCTAGTGGGGAATAAGGGTAAATATAACAAAGCCACTATGTCATGTAATTTCAAAGTTATAGATACTTAAAATTTTGAGCTATTAAAAGTATTGAAATATTGTAATATTATTTTCAAATAGATATGTTCTGTGTATGGTGTAGAATTTGCATACATAACAATGGGATAACACATATAGCACTTGAATGATCAGGCTGCACAGCTGATTTGCAACAAATCAGTGGGAAAGGATGTGATCTTACCTAGGCTGCCTCTGTATAACTGCCCGGTACAGTCGTGGGCCGGTACGTGAACAAATTTATTACCATTATCATCCTCTAGAAACTAACATTTGAGTATGTACATCGAAATAAGGCAGACAATTGAAAACTCTACTCATATGTAAGACACTGGGTAAGAAATGGGCTAACTTGGCACTACAGTAGAGAAAACGACAAAACAGATACACCCTTTGAATATATTTCATTTATTTTAGTTTTCATTTCCTTTTTTATTGTAATTTTTAAATCAGAAATAATTAAAAACCCTGATGGCAATATGAGAAAAGCTATAAAGACAACACATTATCCTAACAATGCTAAAAGTGATCATGCCTAGTCTACTTGAACCCTTTTACGGTTACGTGACACAGCTTGCCAGAGTCTGAATATACTGGTTTTAAGATCAAATTAATTAAACTGTTCTCTGTAGTAAATATTATGTTAAAATAAATTGTGCTCTCACTAAACAGTCTAGCTCTGGTAGAAACTACTCTTATCGCAGATTTTGCAGTGGGCGTATGTGTGCTGGAAATTTACGTACTTCTAAAAGTCAAGATGGCATCGCTTTTCTACTGATGCTAACGGACATTGAGCTGAGTCAAACTGTAAATAAAATTAGGTCCAGATGAAAATGTCAGATCTTTTTGTAGGACTTATATTTTAATCACCAAGTGGATTAAAATTAGGATGCTCTGGCAGGATTTGGCGAAGCAGGATTAAGGTGGAGATACGTGGAGCTCCGCTCTACACGTACGTAGACGGCGTGTTAAAACTATCTAGCTCCTGACCACTTAACCTCGCGAATGGGCGACCATTGACACAAGATCCATTGCTGATTACAAATTTACTTAAAAGTTGGTTCAGGGACACGTCTACACCCTAAAACTAATTTAAAGTCCTACCTCTCTGTCCACTTCAGATGGGAGATCCAGCCCTACGTCTTACATCATTGGAGACTGCTAGCGAAGAGAGCGTTAGTCTCTGCAGGCTGATGATATCTTAAGAGGGCTTAGAGACATTCTGTACATAGTATGATATTATGTAACTTGAACTTTATCATGTAAACATGGTAAAAGAAAGAGAATGATAATGATTTGTTACGTAGAAGGATTTAAAATCATTATGATACTTTTTTATTTTAAACGATGTTTCTATATTATATGCAAATGACAATATTGATACTAAAGTATTAAGCTTAAAATCACCTTAACCATGGTCTGTTCTAAATCTGGAAGTGAAAATTTTGTTTTGCCATCAAACATACAAAGTATGTGATTTGAAATGGGATTCCTGTGTTTTAGAATATGAAGATAGATTCAAACATGTAATTGACTTGCTCCTCTAATAATATCCCATTTATGTATGGGGAAAAATGCAAAAGGAACGTATGAATACATTAACTAATGCAGAAGTTATGTAAATGTTCAAGTATCAATTCACTTGTAAAACATTATAATAATCATTCATGTTCGAACAAAATGTTTTATTCTTAGTATAAAAGCAAAGCCTTAAGAAAATATACCGACATCCATGGTACATTTAAGGACAATTAATTATATAATTAAAAATGGTTTGTTATAGGTTCATACCTACATAAGGCATTGAAATGGAGACATTCATTTCAGCTAAGGGTGTACAAGAGTTTGGTGTGCGGATACCAGAGAGTCTGGTTCAAGTCTAAAGGTAATACATTCTACCAATTACAGCTCTGCAAGGGAGATGAACACTGGAACTTTTCACAAAGTCTTGCAAGAAATATCTATAAAGAATGAATATTGTGTTATGAACAAGAAGGCTGCCCGGTTTTGAACATGTGGCCCAACAGCGAACTACCACATAGTCTAAACGATTTAAGCTTCCATGTTCGAAGTGAAGAAATAACAAAGGACCCAGGACTTAAAGAAATAAAATATAATTAAGTAGAGA